GTGGGGCTGTGGCCGAATGAACAGAGAGAGGGAGAGATAGGGAGGTGTAATGACCAGAAAAATTTTGGTCTAATCCGGACAGTCCGGCATTTGACCATAATCCTTTCCGGAATAGTAAGTAGTAGAATTTTGACTTGATTAAGAGAATGTTATGTAGAAACTTTATGCACGGGACAAAATTTCCCGAAATGTGTAAGTTATAATACGAATATTTCTACAGAGGAAATTCATAAATATCAGTTATGAATAGTAAAATATATGTTAAAAATTAGAAATTTTAGCGGGTATATCTTAGTTCTGAAGTAAGAAAAATAGCAATAGTTCCTGAAACAGGATTTTCCCCAGTCAGTTAAAGCAGAAAATAACTCAAAAATCAGTACCGCAAGGGTAAGCGTTTTGGGCAATTCTAGATCGATTAAAATGAAAATTTCAAAAAAAGAAATTGACTAATGAGATACTCTAGAGAATTGGGTTGAATATGAGAAGTTTGACCCAGGGTACTCGGCAGTCCAAAAATGCAGTACAGAACCTGTACTGAGGGGGAGATTATCGTTACCGGAAAGAGACTCGTTTTGAGAAACGGTAAGTTAGGTCTCGACAAGAAAATTTTGAGCAACATAGAACCACTCAAATTAAGTGTTAAACTTAAGTAGAATTAGTGGAATTAAATTATGAGAATTGAGGTATTTTCTTTAATTAGAAAGTAATAAGAAAATATTAATAAAATATTAATTTTTTTTCTTAAAAGCACTTAGGAGGAAATTAGAAGGCAAAGTGCTCTACTTTTCCTAAGTGTGGCCGAACATAGAGGAGAAAGAGAGAAATCAAAGAAAAATCAAGAGAATCAAGCGTTTTCACCGAAATTTCTTCCGTTCAGTCCGGTAGAATCATAACCCGAGATGTTCTAGTGGAAAACCCCAAATTCTAGAGGTAAGATTTTGGATTTTTCATGTGAAATCCTATGTTTTTCGTTTTGGATGAATAGTAACCAATCTCAAAATTTTTTTGTAAAAGTAAAAATCGAAACCGAGGTTTCGTAGAGCACCATAATAGGAGTCTAACAGTGTAGGTATTAAAACAATTGAACGAGATTTTAGTGGATTTACACTAAAAATCCGTGAGCCCTAGAATGAGAAAGAACATATGTTTTTGTTCAATTTTATGTTAGAATTTGTGTTGAGAAATGTGAATCCTGACTCCAGGTACCGAAATCGGAAGATAGAACGAGCTATTGAAAGCTCAGGAAACGAGAAAAACTAGGCGAAACTCTGCCGAAATTTCCTAAAACCTAGCTAGTAAGTATTGAGTTATGATTTTGAGTCATGGGAATGAATAACAGTTCTAAGGTTCAGAAATGAATAGATTGAGGTTCAGAAACCGAGACACACAAATTTGTGAAATTTGCCTCTTAAGCTAGAAATTTGGCTTAGAGGAATAAAGTTCAGAAATGAGTTTGAAATTAGATTTAGGAATCTAAGTATGAGAATTTTGATGTTTGGAATAGGAAGTGATACTGATTTCCATGAAACAGGTTTTGGCACGAAAGCCGACGTGAAGAAGAAGAACTCTCAGCAAGCCGGAATACTAGCAGATTATTTGTAAGTGTAGACATATATGTTTATCTGCACTCGAGAAAACTGTAGATGGACTTAGAATTATGAACTTGCTTATATTTCTAAGTTGATGTGATTTTAAGTGTTTGAGTGCTTAGTGCCCTAGATTTCAGAAGGGCAACAAATAGTTACCCTAATACTCAGTTTAAGGTATGCATGAAGTATTATGTATCTCGTGTTAGCATGTGCACGTAGAGAAAGCGTTGCATAGCATTCAGTAAAGTTTTAAAAATACTTTGAAATGCAAATCTAGAGTTTAGTAAAGTTAAGAGACTGACGGGTTGTCGGCCTCCCAATGGAGGAAATCTCAAAGAATAAGAGATCCTGGCTAGACCAGACAGTAAGTAGGGGCCCAGGCCCACAGTAGCAAGAACAGTAAGCAGGGGCCCAGGCCCACTGTAGTAAGAACAAAAAGACAGAAAGCAATTTTTAAAGCATGTTTCGCATGTGCATTCCTACATATTCACATGTACATTCCTGCATCATGACACTTTATGTAGTTTTACCAGTTTTAAGATGTGTGCATGTCTATACTTGCTGGGCATTCACTCATCAGTTTACTCATGTGCAAGTAACACAGGTAAACAGCCAGCTATTTAGTAGTTTTGTTTGATGGACTAGCTGATGCAAAGTGGCAGAAATGTCATGGGTTCACGGGAGTGGTGTCTACTTCGCCCGCTTAGGAAAAATTCCGCTGCAGAGAAATGTAATATAGAACACAAGTTGTGCATTCAGTTTTAAGAAAGAGATGCTACAGTCTTAGTAAAAAACAACGGACTGTAATAAGTTAAGATAAGTTTCGGGGACAAATTCCATAACCGAAGTCATAAAGTATTAGCAAGATGTATTATTAGTATAACAAAAGAACATGCGAGGAACATGTTAAGAACCCGAGGGTTAGGAAGAAAAAAAAACTTCACTTGTGTATGGACGTAGTATAAAGAGATGATAGTCTAGTAGTAAGTAATGAATTAGACTATAACTCAGTCTACTAGTAGTAGTATAAAGTTGGCGACCCGCCGCAAGGGCGTGAGTCGTCATAGGAGGAGCTCATCAAGGCCTCTTGCCAACTTCTTCCTTTTGCAGGTTTGGATTCCAATCGGCGACGGATTCCGTGATTTCTGATGGGCTTTCACGAGGTAACTACTTGCATATGCTTCAATTCTCAATTGGTTCATTGTTTTAGCTCCATCACTTGAATCATGAGAAACGAAGTCCAGTAGCTTACGTTGTATATGCAATTTCAAAGTTTGGACGGTTGCAGAAAATTCTACAGAATAAACCAAAAATATTTCAATCCGTTTCCAACTTTTTTTTTTTTTTTTAAAGTATTTTAACATATGTCAAATATAGCGCGTGGTAACTTGTTAGAAATTTCTTCGAGTCTAGTTTATGATAAGATCCGTTAAATAAAATCTTAGAATTATCTAAATATGTTAGGAATATTCCCGTGAGAGGTACTAATTACATTTTCTTATGTAGAAATTGTTAGTTCAGAAACTATTTTCGCACAGAAAACTATTTATTGCGTAGGTTTTTTCTTAGTTAGCTAGGTCGTTCCCTCTAGTAATTGTCCATATTTTGGAATTAATTAAGGAATTTAGTGAGGACAAACTAAGGCTTGGGATTGCTCCATAATACTATAGATCAAGTAGGGGACTTGTTTGATCAGGTCTTATCAGCATGATCCTTTTTTCGTCGGTAAATCACCTTTTATTTTCCGTCAAATATATAATCTATGTGCACAAAGAAGAGAGTTTAGTTGGCTTAGCAAGTCCTAAATGGTCTAAGAGTGTGGCATTTAGATGAGTACGTACTTATTATTTTCTCACATGATCATAGATGTTTCCATTTAGTGAGCACAAACCAATATCTGATCAATAACTAATTAATTTGTGCCAAATGTAGCAATTAAAATTTTCAAGTGCTGAAAAAAGAAGAAAATAACATCAAGCGCTGGAGAAACACAAGGTAACAGAGATTTAGAGGACTTGTCCTCTACTTTACATCATCTACTGTGTGAAACCTACTACAATAAGTTACCTATCAAAGAAAAACCTACTACTATTCAGTTCTTGAGCCAGTCAACGAGCACATGTTGAGATTTTAATGATACGGAAAGAGATAATATATCAAGATATTGTGTCATTTTTACATTCTCTCTAGCTACTTCATACAAGATAAACGCATAAATATGCAAAAATGCTGCACATATCTATAAACCGTATAGCAGAACATGCAAGCGCGTCGTCGCAATCTGAGAGAGAGAGAGAGAGAACTAAAGATCATGGCTAGCCCTGCGTTCAGGTGGGTGTAACTCGGCGGGGTTGACTTTCTCACTACATTGTCTGTCGATCTTTACAGAGTTGGCACACATTTTTTTATTAGAGAAGAGCATTAAAAGTGGAAGGGTCAAACCTGTGATAAATCCCAGAATTGTTTTTTACTGATTATATCTATAGTCTCTGCATATTCATAACGATATATACATATATATTTACATATATCTATATATACATATATAGATATATGTATATAAATGATGTTCCTATTTATCAAAAACAGGATGAGAAAAAAACAAACGCAAAAAAAATAGTCAGTCACGCAAAGCAAAGGACTTATTGGCGCCTATTAAAGTGTTGGTGGCTCGTTCACCGAACCCTAACTAAAATTCCACATGACCACCCTAAATTTTCATTTAAGACACTCACACCCGGGCCCCAAAAAAAATAAAAAAAAAAGATAGACAGTAAACAGACTGAGTGTGAGATTTTTCTATTTTCTTCTCTTCTCTTGATTTTTAATTTTGGTTTCTCCGCTGTCTTAGTTCCTCAACTAATCTCATTAACTCTTTTTCATTGAATGCTTGAATTAAATACCCCTCTTCCCTTTTTCCAATTTAGGTGCGGCAAGCGCGTGCGCGCGTGTCCTATGCATGCATGAGAATTGAGATCACTAGAGATCGTAGAGAGTTTTCTAGTGACTTTTGATGCCAATGGTTTTTTCTTTCTTTTTTTTTTTTTTTTGGTTTTTATTTTCTTGTACATGAAAGAAAAAGGGGGGGTATGGCTAATGGCTGTAGGCTTTAAACAATATATAAAAGAGTTTTCTTTCCAACGACCTGTTAGAGCATTTATGGTGGTGCTCTGATGGATTTATTGCATTTGTCAGAGTGAGCGAGAAAGATTAGTCCTGCATTCTCAAGAAACCAGTCTGGCCATGATAATTGCTCTTCAATAACATTTCACCTATAAAACCTATCTCCATAATTCTCCATTTTGTACTACCCTTACCACTTTCTACTCCCACCGAACTCTCAAACCAAAAAGAAAAAAACAGGCCCCCATTCATTCTGATCTCTCTCTGCTTCTTCTCTGCATGCTTTCTTTTTCTCTTTTTTCTTCTGATCTCTCTCTCTCTCTCTCTCTCTCCTTCTTTCTTTCTCTCCTAAAGTTAGATCCCTGCCAACCTCTATGACAAATATTCCACCAACATTTTTCATGAAAATTAGCTAGTCATCAACTTCTCTTGAAATCTTTTTTTTTTGGTCAAGTAATTCCATTTTTGTATAGAGAGTGTTTTTTTTTTTTTTCCTTCTCTTTTCTTAGCTCTAAAGTCTCAAAATAACACACTCAAAATAAGGTACGTGGGTTGCATTGCATCGTTACATTAATAATATTATTCTTTCGGGTGCATCAAGAAAAGAAAAGATCATCATGGAGATTTCTACTGCGTTGCTTCTCTTAACGGCGATAACGGTTTACCTACTGTGGTTCACGTTCATCTCCCGGACCCTGAAGGGCCCACGTGTCTGGCCACTATTGGGCAGTCTCCCCGGGCTGATCGAGAACTGCGACCGCATGCACGACTGGATCTGCGACAACCTCCGCGCGTGTGGCGGCACGTACCAGACCTGCATCTGCGCAATTCCCTTCCTCGCCAAGAAGCAAGGTCTCGTGACCGTCACGTGTGACCCGAAGAACCTGGAGCACATCCTCAAGAGCCGATTCGATAACTACCCAAAGGGACCCACGTGGCAGGCCGTCTTCCATGATCTCCTCGGCGAGGGGATCTTCAACTCTGACGGCGACACGTGGCTGTTCCAGCGTAAGACGGCCGCACTGGAATTCACCACCCGGACATTACGCCAGGCCATGGCTCGCTGGGTCAGCCGAGCCATCAAGCTCAGATTCTGCCCCATTCTCAGATCAGCCGAAGCCAAAGCCGATCCTGTCGATCTCCAGGATCTGCTTCTTCGGCTCACGTTCGACAACATCTGTGGCTTGGCTTTCGGTAAAGATCCTCAGACCTGTGCGCCGGGGCTCCCGGAAAACGGCTTCGCTTCGGCTTTCGACCGAGCCACGGAAGCCTCGCTTCAACGGTTTATTTTGCCCGAGGTTTTATGGAAGCTGAAGAAGTGGCTCCGGCTCGGAATGGAAGTCAGCTTGAGCCGGAGCTTGGAGCACATCGAGGGGTATTTATCCGATGTCATCAACGCACGTAAGTTCGAGTTGCTGAGTCAACAAAAAGATGGGAATTTACACGACGATTTGTTATCAAGATTCATGAAGAAGAAAGAGAATTACTCCGACCAGTTTCTCCAACACGTGGCTCTCAATTTCATCCTAGCTGGACGCGACACGTCATCAGTGGCGCTGAGCTGGTTCTTCTGGCTGGTTATGCAGAACCCGTCCGTAGAGGAGAAAATCCTCCGCGAGATATGCTCCGTACTGATGGAGACACGAGGCGACCAGGATATCATCGCATGGACGGAGGAGCCTCTGGTGTTCGAGGAAGCCGATCGGCTGGTCTACCTGAAGGCGGCGCTGTCGGAGACTCTCCGGCTGTATCCGTCGGTGCCGGAGGATTCGAAGCACGTGGTGAACGACGACGTACTGCCGGACGGGACTTTCGTCCCTGCCGGATCGTCGGTGACGTACTCCATATACTCGACGGGGAGAATGCGGTCGACTTGGGGGGAGGATTGTATGGAATTCAAGCCGGAGCGGTGGCTGTCGCCGGACGGGAAGAAATTCTTGGCTCAGGAGTACTCGTACAAGTACGTGGCGTTTAATGCCGGGCCGAGGATTTGCCTCGGGAAGGACTTGGCGTATCTCCAGATGAGGTCGATCGCGGCGGCGGTTCTGCTGCGACACCGTTTGACGGTGGTGCCGGGGCACCGGGTGGAGCAGAAAATGTCGGTGACGCTCTTTATGAAGTACGGGCTTAGGGTTTACTTGCAACCTAGGGATTTGGAGGGAATCGTGGTGGGTCTGAAACGGGAGAGGAGTGACGAGACGACGGCGTTTCGTGGCACAGTTAAGTGTAACGGAGCATGTAACGGTAACGGAGTTGGCGGCGTTGAGGAGAAAAAGATGGTAGTCTAGTTGGCGTTGCTTAAATTTGTCTTGATGGCCATTTCAGAAAAAAAAAAAAAAAAAAAAAAAAAAAAAAAAAAAAAATTTTAAGGGGGTGTCTGAAGGGCTTGTTTAGATGTGGATATGTTTTTAAGGGGATTTTGGTGGAGAAAATGAATGAAGGGGGAACAAGGTCATGTGGTTTTGGGGCCCACAAAATGAAGGAGGAGGCTCTCCCACACATCTAGAATGCTTTTTGTACGGAGTGTCTTGGCCACAGCTTCGTCTTTGCTCCCATAAAAGATTTTCTAAATAGAGCTTTTCTAGGACAAAAGCTTGAAAAATTTTATCACAATTCTTTTTTTTTTTAATCTTTTAATTGTTCTTGTTCAGACAACATTGGATTTCTTCAAACCGTAATATATTCTTTTTTTTTTTTTTGGGTTGTTGGTGTGAGTATTGTTATTAGTATTTATTTTGTTAGAGACACTGTGTAAGTGAACAAGCATAGCTACATAAATTGGAATATAAATGAGTTTCCTTTTTGAATAAAGATTATGTTCAATCTCTCTCTCTTCTCAAGAAGTTGCATGAATGGCTATGAATACACGAGTCTCTATGGGTAAGTTAAATAGTTAAATTATATACCCAGTTGATATTTGAAACGCTCTTTTTAATTAAAATTTACTATTACAAAACCTCTCATATGAAATGACAAAAGAAGATAATTTTAGCAGACTTTAAGTATTTAATAATATATGATTTTTTTTTTTTCTTAACACACACGGCCACACCATAAACATAAATGTGTGAAATCTTGCTATTTGAAACCTTCAAAACCTAAACACATTGAAATCAAGGGATCAATCTAATCTTAGTACGATAAAGGTATTTACAATGCATGTAATAAACATAAGGCTTTGAGAAAGATGGCAGACACAAATCCAACAACTTACGACTTACAAGTTTATCTGAGCATACGCATATTCTCATATAATAGTAAATTTACTTAGTACAATATTATTGATTGGGGTATAAAAGAAAAAAAAATTAAAAACCTCCATGCCTAAAGCTTCAACTAGTACAGAAAAGAAAGAAACGAGGATATCAAGGTAATAAATAAATAAATATATATATATATATATATATATAATGGTAGGCAACTTAATAATTATGCAAAAATTAGATATATAATCATTTAAAATAGTTAAGTATTGTGACTACAAAAGATAATAGCATATCACTTATGTCATTTCTACTTTTTTAGCTTTGCATTGATATTTGCATTAGAGATTGTCTTAGTTGATATATTTACTTTTTGATCCATTATAACATTGTCCTTTTATTTATTTTAAGATTAAAATTTTGCTTTCACAAGTTTAAAGCTTAATAATTTTGATAAAAAGTAAATATATCATTTAAAATAACAATATACATTGAAGCACAAAATAGAATATCATATCAAATATTTTATTATTTACTTTTAAGTGCCAAATAAAACATTGATATTTACATTATCATATACTATTTGAAATAACAATATATATTGAAGCACAAAATAGAATATCATATCAAATATGTTACTATTTACTTTTAAGGGCCAAATAAAACATTGATATTTACATTATGATACACCATCCCTCATGCAAATGTAAATTGTATATTTAGCACTAAAAAAGTATTTTTATATGTTATTCTTATTTATACTCCAATGTATAATGTTATTTTAAATGTTTAATCTACTTCTTACCATAATCATTAAGCTTTTGAATTCATAAAAGTCAACTTTTAGTTTTAAAATATTTTGAGATGTAAATGTTATAATGATTAAATGAAAAAGCAAACATATCAATCAATAAAAATTAAATGTCTAATTGGTCAGATATTATATTTAGTAGCAAATTTACCAAGTATAACATATATCAAATTTAGCACAACAAATGGTACTAGTGTTTTGTACATTTTAATATTAAATTTATCATTAACACATCAATTATAATATTACACCGAAGATATCTCAATGACAAATTAAAACACTACTACTACTACTATAATCACTATAATTATTATTATCACCATCACCTTCATCATTATCATCATTATTGTTATTCTTTTGTGTCAAATATCACAAGCATCTATATTGGAGAAAGTTTTGTATCTTTTTTATCCTAATCTGAGCCAGGTCTTGGCCTTGTGGGAGCTATTTGAGCCCGACTCATAAACTCGTACAAACTATTGCCATGGTTTTAGAAATAATGTTAACACGTGCCTCTTCTGTATGGTTTTAAGTGGAAAACAGTACCATTTTCTGTCAAATCGATGTTATTAAAGATTGAAGTCAGCAGACGACATATCCACGAGCAGCATTAATTATGCAGCCTACAGCAGTGCCTAATTTGGCTACTTATTTCAGACTCACAAAACCTTTATTTTTTCCCTTGTTTTTTGGTACAATGAAGTTGTCAGAAAAACTTAAAATTCCCACCTACTTTCTGTCTGAAGCCATCTGAAGCCATAAAAAAAAAAAAAAAAAAAAAAAAAGAAACCAATACCCAAAGTCCATGAGTTTTAAATTCTTACTTCTTATTTTGATTAATACTTTTAATTAAAAAATTATATTAATATTTTCACCAATTTTCTCTAAAAGAAAAAAATAAAATCAATTTTCTCTAAAAGTTTTCATTACTGTTATGTAGTCATATAACATGCGTGATGCAACAACAATAACGTAGTTAGTTAGAACAATGTTTTATAGTTTAAAGCAGAGAAAAAAGAGAGAATAATGAATTAATATAAAGATTTTCTAATTGGTAGAAGGGCTCAGCACTTTAAGCATTGCATGGGAAAGAAAGAAAAGGTTCATGGGAGCAGGTTACACAAAAGTTCTCTAAAATGAAATCATGTGATCAAATTAAAAAGAAGCATTAAACCTGTAAAAACGAGTTCCTCAACAAACCCCAAAACTTGTCAGGAGCAAGTTTTGGGCTTCACAAGTTGTTAAAATATCAGTAACCTTCTCAGCAGAATCTTCCCTTTGGTTGATTTCCTTTCCTTTTTTTTTTTTTTTTTTTATGTAAAGTTTCACCTCTGTACGTACTTTACCTTTCTTCCACTCTTACAATTGTTTATTCAAGAACTTTCTCTCCGGTCGAAAATAAGTTCCAGACTAGTGTTCCTATGATGTACAAGGCAACGGACACCTTGAATACATCATCCCATGAACCTGCAACAAAGAAAGTTGGGTTATAAATGTAGAAATTACAGACAGAATGTTGAGAGATTGCCACAAGAAATGAAATTACATAAGCTTTTCTGAGACAATAGATCATCTCCAATGCACATGTCCATGCTATATTAGTGTGAAAATGAGATATTTGCTATGTTATTTTATTTTGTGCTCCAATGTCTAATGTTGTATGTACTTTTTGTCGTAATTACTAAGCCTTGTAACTTGTAAAAGTAAACTTTTAATTTCAAAATAATTTGAAAACGATAATGTTATAATGATTAAATGAAAAAGTGAAATGCAGCAACCAATAGCAATCAAATATCAAAATTTGAGATATGTTATACTTGGTGCCAAATTTTGGCACCAAGTATAGTATATCACAAATTTAGCATAAAAAATACCATACCATTGGAGAGTGGCTTCCCTACTCAAATGCAAAATTTGGCATTGGCACGCTAATTTGGCACTGCACTAGAGATACTGAGCAAAAGAATAAAAAAGTATCAACTTATTGTACCTCGTTGGAGTATTAAACCAGTTGCAACAGTACCAAAGACACCTGCAAGTACTCCAGCTGTGTTTGACAGTCCTAGCAACACTCCCTGCAATTGATGTTTGTAAGCTCTATAAGAAACTACCAGGGGCAGTAGTGCTTTAAGTTATGCATAGGTCGTTAAAACTGGCATGTGTTGAATTGTACAAGATAGAAGTAACTCACAGCATAGCGTGGTCCAATGTCTTGGTGATTGGAATATAGACCGGATTGTGAGAAAGCATCAGATCCCTATAAAAAATAACATGTAGTTCATTTAGATTTTATGGTTTGAACCAATTTGAGACAAGATATATTAATCTTTATTATATAGATCAGCTCTAGAATCATTGCAACAGCAGAACAGTCTTTCCAAATCATTTTTTCTCGTTTTATGTGATTACCCATTTAACTTCTCTCATTATAGTAGGAAATAAAAGAAAAACTCCCAAAATTTTCACTACCATAGTAATGGAAGCCTATAATAGGTCTGACCTTAAAGAAGTGGTTACAAACATATATATGTCCCTGTATTGGATTATGGATTTTACTGTAAAATTATCTAACTAAAAATATAAATAACTCATGAAAGTAGTCTTAGTGAACAAAACAAATCAGGTGTAAACAAACAATTTAGACATAAAATGATTTAAAGCTTCGCCTCTACCTGACTGCAAGCCATGCATAGTACAGCCATGGCAGGAGTCCTAACATGGCTGAGCTGAGTAAGAAAGAAGGCCGGTCCTAGAAAACCTATTGATTGCATGATCTGCAAAATGAAAGGAATTGGCAGCGGAATTAATTTCAACTAACTGAAAGAGACATGAGATTTAATAACCGTGCCTGCATTGCTCAATTTACGTTTTGAAATTTGATAAGAAGCGTTTCTACCCATATTGCTTATTTCACTTTCAAAAGAGATGAGAATAAGAATCAACTGAGAAAACTTATTCTACAAGGAGAAACACATGCCTGTGTATCTGGTACTGGATCATGAATTTTCAAATTAGTTTTATAATTGTCTGTTAGACAAATATGACCCAGGACAGGTTTTTAATTGGTAAGCTGATTTAGTTTTATTATTATTTCTTCCCATTTATGTGCACTTCCTTTAATCATTGGTTTTGTTATTCATTACTTCATGGTGAATGAACATTATACAAAATCCAGCAACAGTAATGCTTGCCTTACGGACTGCTGTTATGGAAAGACCTCTGCTCACAAGTGTATCTGCAATCCAACCTCCTATATTGGCAAACACAGCCATTGTCAACCATGGTAGAACACAGAGAAGGCCAGATTCAGTCAGGTTAAACTTCAAAACCTGAGGAAGCAACCAACAGTAATGTTAAAACTTAAAGATTCAGTGAGGTTAAGCTAGAATGCATCATTAGAATAATACTGAAAAAAAAAAATGCTCCAAGTTTGAAACGTTAATGTTCTAAGTTTTGGGACTTTCCTGTCTATCATGCATCATTAGACAGCAGGCAAGAAAATACTAAAATTTTTTCAAAGGTTTGCAGCATATATTAAAGAAAAATAATACCAGCAGACATGAAATTCTGTTGTAATTTTTCTACAGATAGCAACAAAAAAAAAAAAAAAAAAACAAACAAATCATGTTCCTACGCATTCTCTGATTTTTTTTTTCCCCTTTTAGAAATCATAAAAATTTCCTGCAGTAGTTCAAGTACGTGAATATTCTCAAATACCTGATTGTAGTATGTAGGCATCCACGTCAAAAGAATAAAGGTCCCCCAATTATGGCAGAAGTGGGAGATAATAAGAGCCCAAACAGGTGCTTTTGATAAAATTAACTTCCATGGAATGACTGAAACAGGTTCCTTGGATACACTACCCCCCAGGATAAGCTTTTTCTCTTCCTCACCAAGTTCTGGATCTTCTTTCGGTGAGCTATATGCCTGGGAAGAGACCAAAAATAAGAAAGTGGGAAGAGTTGAAGCTTTTAGTTCCATGTAGGTACATCAAAAGCAGAGTGTAAATCCATAGTATATCCTCTATATAAACTATGCCTAATATCGAAGTAATCATTCCTGGCCTCAAATGATCACCAAGTAATATGCTGACAACAAGCAGACATAAAAGTTAGTTCAAATTTGTTAGTCAGTGAACAATGCATTAACACATCAGTTGGCGAGTTCAATGAGCTGGAGGCTAGCATTATCAGGAATTAGTATGTAAATGAAAGTACTACTCCCACTTAAAGTTGTAGAGCCTCAAACAGGGAAAATGCACATTCAACTTATGGTCATTAATAAATTCATTTTCTTCTCTTGCTATATAATATCTTCTTCAAGGATGCTACTGATCATAGATTCCAGTGCAAATGACCAAAAGAAGAAAAAACATACTTTTTTTAGCCATAAAGCAAACCAGACACTTCCAAGGGAGCCAAAACAGTAAAATACAGATGGCCATCCAAACTTGTGGATTAAAACAGGGGAAACAGCCAACCCCGTGACGGAACCAAGATACATGCCACTGTACACAAGCGCTAAAGATCTGCTTCTCTCTGACACGGGAATCCACTTAGATAGTATGTTATTCATAGCAGGCATGGCAACACCCTGTGAGAACAGAGAAGGTTACCATGAGCAATGATACATCAATGGTTATTTGGAGATAAGTCATATAGTAAACAAAGTGTTTAAACAACGGCAACTGCAGAAACGACAATACTCTACTTATTCAAAAGTCTTACAATACTTCCTTCGGCGAAAAAAAAAAAAAAAAACAGTTGCAATATCCAAATCTGAAAGTTAAAATTCTCAGCTCTCATACAGGTACCATAACCAATGCTAAATTCAGATTACTCTTATCTTGTTCTAGCCTGTTCTTCCATCTGGATACACTTGTTTTTTGTATTTAAATCAGTCTAGTGGTGTATCCTTTACATCAAACATTGACATAAACAAAGAGTAAACATTCTTAACCGAGCACATGAGCTTCAAATTTGTTCACATTTAGGCATAAGTATCCAAGAAGAATCAGTAGAAGAGACCTACCTCGCCAATCCCCATGAAGGCACGCATAACAAGCAGAAAAGGAAGCCCAATTCTTGCCGCAATAGGCGTCAAAACGGTTGCTATTGACCACCAGACAACTCCAAAACCTAACACTAGTTTCCCACCAATTTTATCTGCCCAAATGCCTCCAAGAATCTAAATGCAGACAAAATATAAAATTGATACGGTTGTAATGAAAGGATTGCAAATACAATTTTCAAATTTAACTCTGGCGAGATTAAGGATACATCTGTACATAGTTAAAACACTCCAAAAGTGTGCAAATATAAACTAAAACATATAACATCACATCCTTTTACAACCATATAGCAGCGGAAGCGTGACCAACTGCATGCAACAGTACCAATTAGGAGATCAACCACCAATGCAAATCTAATTTCAAGTAATGCTAGATATAATAATTGATAAGGTATATCGAGTTAAAACCTGGGTAAGTAGATAGCCCCAGAAAAAAGAGGATTGAATCAGGCCAACTGTTGCACTGTTCCAGTTAAATTCCTTAGACATGGGAAGTATTGCAATGCTCATATTCACCTACAAGAAATATAAAATTAGTAAGCATTTGAAACCCATCATGTAACAAAGTGTTAAGATAGCAAAGCTATTAGCGTCCTATAAGTGTTATATTCACAAATAATATTTACATTAAGCTTACAGAGTGAGAAAATGTATTTATAAACTAATAGCACAATAGCGCGAAAATGTGACTGAGAAAACCCGATTGCCAAGATCAAAATACAAAACCAAAAACAAAAATACTCACACGGTCCATGTTGCACAATAAGAATGCTGCGAAACAGAGGAGTACAATCACCCAGCGCTTAGGAAATTGCTGCCACCAAGGACATGCTTTCGGTAAATCCCCCTCAACCAAAACAGCTTCACCGGACCCCTCCATCGCTGGCAGTGCGTCAACTTTTGCCTCTGTTATATCATCCTCCTCAGACTTATAGTAAGCGCGGATCCTGTTGGTCTTAACATTCTTAGACTTATAATACTGTCCATTTCTTATATCAAGCTTGTCCAACACTTTGGACTGACACCAGCTGCTACAAGAGGGATTTGAAGAAAGATAGCATTCACATTTCACTCTAGTTCTTTGCTTAGGAATGTTGCTGCCACAGCTTTTACCGGATTGCAGTGACATTAATGAAGGGTGATCAATTTCATTGAAAGCTCCTCTTGACTTCACTTGGTTCTTATCTGAAGAGCTAGTAGCATGAAAAACTCTAGCATACGTGTATCCAGCTCTAGGACCATTAATCCTTGGAGTACATAAATTGAGCCCTGAGCGCTCTGTTCTCTGATGTGAAACTGCTTGTTTTGTTGTAGAGACTTTTCCAGTCATTTATAAATTATTAATAGACAAATTAGCCTAAAATATTCGGAAAAAGAAAAAAAAAAAACCCAATAATGACTAGTTTGTATAACTACAAAAAGATTTATCTCAGATACACTATTTTTCTTCTTCCAAAGAATTGATGCCATTGTTCCAGTCTACAACCATTACAAGTAATATACATCTCACATGCAATATTATTTTATTCCAAAGAATGGAAGCCCCTTATGAAAAATTTGTACAAATTTCATCTCGAAAATACATTGTTGCTCTAGAGCTAAAAACAGAAACTGAACGTTAATATTATTAACTCAATGGGCTATAAAATATATTCGCAACAATGATAATTGAAGCCTTCTCCCTGTTGGTCTAATCTTCTTAGAAGTACAAAATGTAAGATTCCTTAAGCAATAAATGCATCTTACCTTTAGTAGTTTTTTATTATATATAAAAACTTGTGAAGGGGTTACATGCAGAAATGAAATCTGTCTTCCTTCATCTTTGAGAATGTTGCCAAAAAATAAATACAAAAAGTATAACGAAAATAAAAGATAAGGAACTGCATGCACTGAAAGTTTCTCACTGATTACCAGAACAGAAACTTTCCGGGAAAATTCAACAGTTGACACAATTCTCAATAATAAATTCACACACAAAGCAAATCAAAAACCAAAATTTTACAAAAGCTGTAATCAAAGAACATGCATAACCAAATTCTTCACCCAGCAAACAAACAATTTACAAAATGTACCAGCATATTCTCAAAAAAAAAAAAAAAAAAAAAGGAGAAAAATTACACAAAAAAAATTAAAAAAAAAATAGTTTTAACAGAAACTTGAATTGAAATTCGGATAATGCTAGCGAAACTAATCGTACCTGAGCCAACAAACAAACCGAAAATCCTGTTCGAAATCAAACCACCAATAGCCATTTTCGTTCGGAACCAAAGAAGACGAGCTCAATAGTACTGAACTGAAGAAACCTCCAGAAGCTACTTATACAGCTTCAGACTCCATTACCAGAGCTCGTATTCCTCGAATACGTCGCCGTTTTTCCAGCTCGATTCTCCGTAAACTCTCTCTCTCTACTCTTTGTGTCAGAGAGACCAGAGAGGATAACCAAAGGCTTTTCTTCTTTCAAATTTTGGTCTCAGAAATTTCTTTTGTTGTTTTGTTTCTTTTATTTTTGTTCGTTTATTTATTTTCAGATTTTTTATTTTTTATTTAAAAAAGCGGGAAGAAAATCCTAGTGGCGTTAGAACCGACGAGAGACGGCTGAGAGGACGACACGTGGCATATCATCTTTGTGGATTCGAGAGGCTCTAAATGGTATGGGGACAAAAGTATCGGAATACCCCTCCATGCACTGCGTCATTACCGTAGACTTTGTTTGGGTGTGGTTGTAAATTTGGAAGCGAAGTAAGGGTACTTTGGGCAATAAGTGAGGAATCATAACCGTAGAAAGCGTTTATGTTCTTTCAACGTAACAGATGTTTCAATCGGAAAGCGTACCGGCGAAAACGACCGGGAAAGCGTTAAAAAAGAAGTGCGATGCCTTTTTTTTTTTTAATGATTTAAATAATTATATCCATTTATCTAATTCCTTTTTTTTCTTTTATAATTTTGTGACCGCATGTTTTTAAAACGACGTGGAATATCCTTAAACGTGGCAAGTGGATGTTGTGTTCATTTTCTTTCTGGGCAAGTGAGCTTTCTTCTTGTGTGCGTTACCGCTCTGTTTCAAGGTTTGACTCACTTTTATGTGTCTTTTAGTTTACAAATTTAAATTCAGATATAATTTATATAAAAAATTTTTATTATAGTAAAAAAATTAAATATAATTTTTTATAAAAAATTTTAATTATAACAAAACTGTAATTAAAAACTTAAATTTATAAAATGAATAAGACTTAATTGACTCTATGGTAGCTATAATAACACATTAACATAATATTTTCTACAATCATTATACAATGTTAATATGAATGGTAAATTAAACTATAGAACCTGTCATTTTATAAGATACAATTCAATTTTCGGTGTATTATATATATATATATATATATATATATATCTTCTTTAGCCCCTCGTGTGACAAAAGGAGAAACGGTCACTTTTTAATTCTAAGCCGTTGAGATATAAACTGAAGATCAGTAATAAATGAAGGGTATGTGACTGGAATATTGTTTTATGTACACTTCTAATGACCGGTTAAGTAGGTCATTAATAGCTTGGGATTAGGATTTTAGTGAACGCTTTCCACCTAAAACCCAATTCAGATCTTGGCAAGAAAATGCCGAAGGGGTGTACAAATAGATGTGAGGCCATTTCCGTGAGGACGATTGCAGGGGTGGGCTCTAGGGCTGATAATCCGGATAGTGACACGACGATACGACTCGAAACCCGCACAAAATTAACAGGTTTGGGTTTATCATAAATAGGTCCGAGTCAAAATTAAGTCGAACTCGTGAAACACGATTAAATAACGCGTCATTTTTAGGTTGACCCGCCAACCCGCATTTGACCCGCCATAACCCGTTTATTAAACGTGTCATATTTGGATAACACGAATATACAACCCGTTTATTACTCATTTTATAAACATGTCTAAAAATAGGTTTAGAAATAGATTAATACGACTCATTTATCACCTATTTTATAAACACGTTCAAAAATAGAGTCAGAAATAGATTAACACGACCCATTTTATAAACGGGTTGATAGGTAATCAACGGGTTGACACGACATGTTTATGACCTGTTTAATAAACGGGTTATTCATGTCGTGTCGTGTCAGCCCGCCAATATACAGGTTGTGTTTGGGTTTTGTATTTCGACACGATTAATAAACGGGTCGTGTTCATGTCAACTGAGGGGGTCAACACGACACGAATACGACCCGCCAACACGAATTGCCACCCCTAGGCTCTATAGCTACCACTATATTTGATTGAGAAGCGCATGGCCGCTTTTTGACAATCTTTTAAGTTTCTCCCTTTTTTTTGTAAACACTTTTGTAGTTGATAATTTATCTCTAAATTTTAAAAAATTTTCACAAATGGGATAGACATTTATTTGGTTAAAAGATTGAAAAGGATTTGATTTTTGAAAGATTATTGATTGTTTTGATGCAGTTGCGTATTTAAAATCGATCATTGTAGTACTTGTCAGTGTTGTATTGCTGGCTGGAAAATGAAAGATAATCATTGAAACTTCCAATATAATCATTTCACACAAAGGAAATTTTTTTATTTAACTTTTTCCCTTATTTTAGTCAATTCAAATTAGCGTAAATAAGAATTAAGATGAAACATAAAACTTACTTCTGTAATATCTCTGTCGTGAGGTGGCTAGAGTTTTGAGTTTGGAATCTCTTTTTAAAAGTCTTGCACTGTCATTGATTGGTCGCCAGAATCTTGGCTCTTGAAATGGTGGCCGAGGTCGTGCAAGTGTGGGTCGGTGGTTGATGGGCGCGATCTATTGGCAATGGAGGCATAGATCTAGTGAGGAGCGGGAGGTTGCTAGTGGATATATGGCATAAGAGCATCGTTTTGCTTGTTTTTGCATTCAGCCTTATTAGTGGCAGTTACACTTATATTACGACGGCTCTACTCAGATCTGGTTTCTTTGACTTCCGTACTGTTGAAAAAAAGGGCATCGAGTGCGCAGCGGAATTTTAAAAATGTAATCAACGTCAAAGCCAACCAAGAACATGTTCATGATACTATATAACATAAATACTAAAGATCTAAATCATACCTTTTGAGATTTAAGAAAACTGCACATCTGACTAATCAAAGCGTTCCAAACAACAACCGAAAGAGCCTCAACCAACCGGTCTTCTTTGCTATTCTCATTTCCATGATCGGAGTGCGGGTGGGCACATGTCGTTCAATCTCCCTTTGGTATTCTTAAACTCCTTCCAACCACAAGAAAGCCAAAGGAAAAATCATTCTTGATAATTAAACAATTTTTTCTCTCAGGAATCTTTTGTCAATAGCCTCCAAAAAGTCTCTCAAGTGATCTAATGAATAATGTGACTTACTGGGCTATTTATAGTGTTTAGGAAGTCATACTTCCGTAACAATTAGGTTTTCTAAAGTTTTTATCGCATCCAGAGTCAGTTTCACCACGTCAGCACGCGCTACGCATTACAACCAGTCGACCTGACCGGTCAACCTGTCTTCACTAACCGGTCGACCTATCTGCACTGACAATAGTTGTTTTCCTAGTTCTTCAACACGTGAAACTTACACAGAGCCTCAATTTTGATTAAAGCAACCCAATAGAGAAAATGTATGATCAAAACAGTCATATAATAGTCTTCTCATATTAAACAACTCTTAAAACAATAATTCAACCAATTTATCTAGAATTAATTTAACAATTAATTCACCAGATAAATCACTCATGAATTAATTAACCAATCTCCTATTAACTTTGAACCCCTTCTACGGAATTAACACAAGTTACCAATATGTAGAAAATACACCGTATCGTTACAGGAAATTATGTGAGCTAGCAAAGGGACCCGATGGACATAAATAAATCAAGCTCTTATAATCACAATGCTACTTGTAAACCAACAAGTCCGTCTCATGATTATAAAACTCTAGCGCTACTCCACTAAAAGCCTAGAGCTGCACTCTCGATTTATATAGCGTATTTACAAAGCTCTTAGTAGCTTTCGTCCATGACTCAATATATTAGTGTATCATCCCCATAGGATATCCATAATCGACTTAAGGTCAAGTTCCATTTTACCTTCCCGATTACATTTATCTTATGTTCCATTATCACACCATCAGAAAACCACTATTCGTACCATTACAAATAGTAAACCATTAAATAACACAAAGTAGTTTAATGGCCGAGCGCTCGTATTTTCCAATCCACTGATAATGCATAAGAGGATATCATTAACTCTTTATAGGAGCTATGAATTTCACTATCTATGAATAACGAATCTACGCATACACGAGTCATACCTTTAATGTACCGGTAAGCGTACCTTTACATAATGTTAGGATGTCTCCCTTTAGTACATCAAAGGATACAAGTTAAGCATACGGGTTCATTATCCATCTCAGGATTAAGATGACAACATGTAATTCGTCAAAAGTGAATTATTTTATTCAAACAGAATTATTAATTAAAATAATTCAACTTTGGTCCGATCCAATATAGATTTCACCATTAGAAACTATATCAATGTCTCTACCCATGGAGTCCCACATCCGACGACCAAGACAAGCCGTCTCCGTTAGGAAGTAGATAACATAGCAATCTTAACATGAATAAAGCGCCCAACTTTATTCCCTCGATTATAGATCATCTGATTTAGACTATCATCTTTAGATTCATGTCTTCCGCATGTTCTTCACATTACATGCATGACCTAAAGATTTAGAATGACAGTCTCAGACTTTTAGTTTGCTTATCATATATTCAACTAATATGAACATAAGGAGGACAATACATAGATATATGAAATAAATAAATCTTTATTAATAGTCAAAATGTCTCAGAAAACATCATTACATTTATTCCTAAGGGCATAATTGCTAACACGTACAATGGTTGTTAACTTGTTGTCGGTATTTATTCCTGTATGGCTGAAAGAAAGACGTTGTTTTTGCCAAGTTTATGTATTGTAATAACAGAGGTGGTTTCCCCACTTCCGATTTTGTTTATGTGTCCCACCCGTTTGAGTTTGTTATCTACGGTGTTTGTGTTTGTTTACACTTAGATTTGTTTCTAGGTCGTGTTGCTTGTGTCTCCAGTATTAGGGGTTTGGTCACGATCGACTGATTTTATCTGATTGTAGTGGTTCTTGTTAACGAGCTTTGGTCGTGCTCAATTTTGTTTGTGCTAAGTTGGTCTTTCCCCATTTGGCCTCAACACTTGTCTTCACTTTTGTGCTTCATCCGTCTTCACTAGTTGAGTTGTCAAACGTGTCGTGTTGGGCCGGCATGGCACGTTCGACCCCAGGCCCTTCACAAGTCGGCCCTGGCCCTTGTAACTTATTTTGCAAAATTTAATTAAAAAAAATGAAAATATATCATATGCCTCCAAAAGATGTGATTTTATTGAATTGGGATAATACGAATAAATATACATAAATGACTGCCTCATTAAAAACCTTGTCAAAACCTGTGGGGAGATCGGAACAAAACCTTAGCAAAGGAAAAAAGAGTGCAGTATTATAGGATAAGTAAATTACAAAACATAAGTGCTTCCAGAATATTCTGTTATTTCTAAGTTAGAAAAATAATGTTGCATTGAATCATCTGTATATTATTGTTATTCGTGTTCTGGTATCTTCCCAGTTTTTAACGCACATTAGCCATTCCAAGATATCTAGATGCATTCTGCTTATCTTCTCATCCAGAATATGGTTTCTTGCACTAAATGATTGCTCTGATACTACTGTTGACATTGGAGTTGTCAGAATGTCATGAGTTATTATGGACAGTGTTGGAAAATGATTGGTCTTGCTCTTCCACGACTGTAAGATATTCAGTTTGTCATCATCGATTACAAAATTTACTTCAAAATATTTTACCAGTTCGGTAGACGCTTGTGTTGATAACGATCCTGCCGTTTTCTCTTTCTTCTTCAAGAAACTCCACGACGAGCCTTTAGGCCCTGAACTGCTAGTTAACGTCGAAGTTTCCTGTTCTTTTTTACCTGTGCTATATTTTGCTTCATACAAACTAAATAATTTTTCTAACATTTTTCGAGCGTCGGTAATAGTTAATAGCATATCAATACCTAAATTTTCTGTTGTAGCAGTCATCAAAAATTCAGTCCCATCTACTCCGCACCTAGGATCTAAAATGGTTTCTAATGCATATAACATAGGACAACCTGGCCAATAACTTTTAAATTTAGTTTCCATTAGCTTAACTACGTTTCCAAAAAGTTCAGTATCCCTATAATAAGAAAATGTTTCTGAAATATTAAATAGTTGATGTAAAACTAAATGTGCAGTTGGATAATAAACTCCGGAAAGTAATTTAGTTGCATTGTAGAAAACTTCAAAAAATTTTAAAAAAATACTCACCAATCTGTATCTAAAATTAATAGTTGATCATTCTTACTGTTTATATACGTTGTGATGAGCTGTTGATACGGGAGTGAAGCCCTCAACATTAAATAGGTGTAATTCCACCTATGTCTCACATCAGTTGGGAACCTTCTTGAGTGCATCTAACTGTTCCTGCAATGTTATTTGAATTCTTGGAGCCGAGCTCGACAACTAGACATGAAGGATAAAGATTCTCTAATATTTGTATATTAGCTTAAATATGTTCAATGCATGCTTGAACTACTAAATTGATTATGTGACATGCACACCGTTGATGAAAAATTTTCCCCCCAAATGTTGGTTTCAAACTACGTTTAAACATGTTAATTGCAACCGTATTAGCTGACGCATTATCAAAAGTAATAGTTAAAACTTTATCTTCTATCCCATAAAACCCAAAAATTTCCATTATTGTTCCAAAAATAGCATTTGCGTTATGAGGATATGGACATAAACGAAAACCTATTTTTCTCTTTTGTAAAACCCATTCATCATCAACATAATGCGTCATGACGCATAAATATCCAGTTTTATTGCACCCCTACAAGATACAGTAGCATTAAAAGACTTAAAACTATAAACTAGAGATTGTCTCATTGCATTAAACACTTTCATGTAATTAGAATGAGTTGTATTTCTACTTACCTGTTTAAATTGCGGGCAAAAGGCTGTCTGTATGAATTCTTCGAATGACGCATCATCTGCAAAAGAAAGAGGTAATTCGGCACTAGCTAGAAATTTAGCTAGTGCCTCATGAGCACGTTGTGCATCGTATATAAAATTTTACAACCCTTGTGATGTGAGTGATAGTGTTTGTTGGCGGGAGTCCACCCTCCCACCTTGGCTTTCCAATGTCTATTCAGATGACCAGTACCCCCACCATTTTTATTAGAAAAGTGCTTTTTACAATACTTACATACCACACGAATTTCTATTTCACCTGTTTTTAGATTTGGTCGGTGCTCCTCTGTGAAATGTTGATATGCAAGAGAAGTCGCGGTATTTTTCCCCTACTGCGTTCTCCAACTTTCTCATTGTGCACTGAAGCATTATCAACCGGAGCATTTTCTAGTTCAGTGGGGGTTGGGGTTAGGAGGCATTATTTCATCCTCGAAAAATGGCTCATCACCAAGCTCAGGGAGAGCAGTAAAATTAGGGAAGTTTGATGCGGTCATTTTCTAGAAATTGATTGAACTTAAATTTTATAAATGAAAGAGTAAGAAAATGAGTGATCGCAAGAGAAAATCTTAGAATCAAAATCAAAGAGACAAGATGAGAGATAGAATGAGACTGAGATGAGAAGTTAAGAGTGAATTATTGTGTGGGATTAATGGGTATTTATAGGGAATTTTGGGGACTTTTTCGGAATGTGACCGTTTGGCCCGCGAAGGGCCCAACGGTCACAATTCTAACGGGCTGGAGGGCTTTTTCGCATGCCGTTTCGCGGGCCTGGGCCGGGCCGAATCCGGGCTTGGGCTGAACTAGGCTTGGGCTGGGCCGCGGGCCTTCACGGGCTAGGGCCAGGCTTGGGCCGCGGGCTGAGAAGCCACGGCCCAGCCCTAGCCCATCAAACGTGCTGGGCCGGCACGGCCTATAACAGTACCGTACCGAGCCGTGCCGAATCCGGCCCAGCCCATTTGACAACTCTATTCACTAATGGATCCAATCGATGTCCGCGGTTGAATTCCCTTGTAAGTTGTAGTCATTTGCGACTATTTATGTCATTTGTTAATTATTAATTAAAATTCCGTTAAGAAAATGAGCGTAAATGAGACACATTTATCATGAGACTCTAGAATTTATTTATTTAATTGTTGTAGTTTATTTTCTTTTTCATTCAGTTATCATGAAAAGAATGGTGCCAGGTTCTGCTGATTGTAGGAATTGAGATTTATAAATATCTAAATTTGGTTGTGCAGATGGCTAAGAAGGCAAAGCATACAAGGGGAAAGGAAACTTGTTAAAAGTCCGACAAAGAATAACCACCCGCATAATATTTGAAAATTTTTAAATGTGGTTTGAAATAAATAGCATAATATTTGAAGGGAGTTAGTGAATAGCATAGTACGTAATAGTCAAATGGAATTTATTTTACTAGAAAATACCAAAATTATTTTCATTTAATCTCCAAAATTATTTCTTACACTTTCTCTCTTCCTCTCTCTCTCACTCTATGGAACATAACTCTGGATTCGCCGGCATTGTCCTGAGGTTACTGACAGAGACGATCGACGTCAGACTTTGACACGAAGCCTGCAATCTTCGCAACGCACGACGACGATAGTTACCAATGGTAACCAGTTGGTATCCAATTTGGTATCCTGCTGGTTGTTGTTCGATAACGGACGACAGTGGACCGGCAAGTGTCACGTGCGTGTTTGTTTCCGTTTTCAAAAACGTTTTTCACATTTTTTGAGGAGAAAAAAATGAAAACGGTGTAAGGATCGTGTTTGGAGGCAGCAACGTACAAAAATTAAAAACGAAAACGTTTTTGTCTTTCTACCAAAATCTGAGCATTTTTGAAAACGAACTCAACTCGTTTTCTTTTCTCCATTTTCACTTTCTCTGGGTTATTTTTCTTTCCTTCACTCTTCTTTCCTCTATTCTCTTCTCTTCCCTTTTCTCCATTTTGATTTGCTAATAACATTACACAAACGGAGGAGACGCAAGTGGGCGCCGTCTTCGTGCAGCCACCGTCGGAGGCGAGGGGAGGACTCCAAGCGAAAGAGATGCGAGTGGGCGTCGTCTTCGTGCAGCTGCCGTCGGTGGCGAGGGGAGGACTGCAAACGGAGGAGCCAAACTCGTTGAGATCCTTGCAGTAGGCGGGAGCGTAGTAGTTTTGGGGTTCGTCGGAGTCAGTGGCGAGGGGAGGACTGCAAACGGAGGAGCCAAACTCGTTAAGATCCTTGCAGTAGGCGGGAGCGTAGTAGTTTTGGGGTTCGTCGGAGTCGGAGGGCTCCAAGGATTCGTCGGTGAAGACGGACTTGAAGAAATCCAAGTCCCCCTACTCTTCTGCGACATGGCTGTGGTAATTTTTATAAAAGTTTTATACTCATGGTATAAGTCAATCCAAGCATAATTTTTGTGTAACCCTATAAAGTACCCTAGGTAAGACACCTCCAACGGCTGCAGTAGCCATCGCACCTGAAGTCGCCATCGTCCATCCACCATCATGAAAATCGTACGCGGTGGCCATCGATCGAGATTCTGTAGGTGGGGGTTCGCAATCTAAATGCAGCTCCATATGCTTTGAGCGATCTCTAGATGGTGGCAGTTTGCGATATCTGGCGGCTTGGCGAGAAATTTAGTCCGAGAGAAAGGGAGAGAGAACTCTATTAAAGGTAAGAAAAGTAAACATATACGCGTTTAGAAGTAAAAAATGGTATTATTTTATAATCTCACTAGCATCACTAAATTATGCATATGGTGCATTTATCTTTTTTTTTTTTTTGGAAGATACTATAATAATAATTACAGATTTACAATGGTAACAACACAGAAAAGAAAAAATTAAGGCCATCATACAAGCCGAAGTGAATCAGGAATCTGAATTAATGGGGAAAAATTTTCATGCCAACTACACAAGAAGTGAAAAATCATAAATAGTTTCTTAATTATTGCTTCTATTTCCCTTCATACATAAAATCCCAAAAAGAGATCAAACAATACCAATCATACATCTGATTTCACAAATACCCCTCACTAGACACCCCACAAAGACAAAATTACTACTCCCACATCACAAAAATTATCATTATTACTACTTCTTATACATAGACTCCACCTTGCCGTCATTCCCTCCAAGCAACAAATACTTATCCTTTCGAGTCAAACTAGTGCACTCGAACCCAAGCGTATCCCCCAACACCTTCTGCACATGATTGGCCACCTCGATCGCCGATTTCCCTCCGGCCTTGCACGACATCTCCTCCGGTAACCGATCGAGGAAAGTCACCTCGTAGACCGGCCTCGGGTTCATGAAGAAGAAGTAAGGGTCCCAAAACTTGACACCTCTAACGGTGGTGCCGTAGAACATGCTTTGCCTACAGTTGACAGCCACGGGGACGATCCTGTCGCTCATCTCCGCGAACAAAGCACTGAAGCGGAGCAAGTAGGGCTCGCGGCACGTTGTGCCCTCGGGGCAGACGACGAGGTCGCCCTTCTGGAGGAGCTCAGCAATGCGGAGGGCGTCAGCGTCGCGGTCGCGGGTGAGGGCGATGGCGGGGATGGGGGAGAGAAAGCGGGAGAGGCGGCTGACGCTGTAGGTGACGGTGGAGACCTTGCGGCCGAGGGCGATGGCGGTGACGATGGGGTCGAGAGCGCTGCGGTGGTTGCAGACGTAGAGGTTGCCGGGAGTGCCGGGGGAGGGGGGCGGGGGGCGGTGGCCGCGGATGACGAGCTTGATGCCGAGCATGGCGTAGGTGTAAGGAACAATGCGTTCGGGGAGGGGGAGGTTGATGTAGACGCGGAGGATGCAGAGGATGAAGCCAAAGGGGAGCCAGAGGTAGGTGAGGATGGCGTTGAGTGGGTCCGGCCGCTGCACAAGGCGGCCGTCGTGGAAGATTATGCGTGATTTCAGGCGGTCCATGGGGAAGGGGCGGGCGGATTTGCTTGGGGGCACCATGTAGCCCTCCTGCATGTCGTTGCATAAAAAATGGTTAGATGTATGATATGATGAGAAGCAATAAAAGAAAAGAAAGAAAAAACTTGTCTGTTGGTATATATATTTAGACAAGTGCTTTAAACGGCACTTACTATTTACCGGATTGAAACAATGGTATAATTCAACATAAATTGTGTATATTTTTCATATAAAGATGTATACAATTAAGTATAAGTCTTGTATATTTACACGTTGTACAATTCAGCATATGCCTTGTACAATTTAGCATATGAAAGTTGTACATTTACATAAATCTTGTATATTTACATGTAAAGTATAAGTTGTACAACAAGTTATACAATTCATCATATATCTTGTATATTTACATACGGTAGTTGTACAATTCAACACAAATTTGATATAATGTCTTCTGTCGGATCAATCAGACAAATAGTGCCTACCGGACGGAAGACATTTCCTATATATTTATCAACGTTATCTATATTTTTTATCACGTTATGTAATAATTTTATGTTTCTTTAATCTAATAGATAGTTATGGTGTGATAATTTTTAGAACTGTTTTTTACTAGTATTTTACAAACCTAACTCCAAAATACTACTATTAACAGTAATACTACTACTTGAATATATTTTATGTTACATATTTAAAATAAAAACAAAATACAGGACACAAAAAGGTAAATAACCAGAGAAAAATAATAATGATTAGCTGATGATATGATTAGAAGGAATAAAAGAAAAGAAAGAAAAAAACTTGTCTGTTGGTATATATTTATCAACGTTATATTTTTATCACGTTATATGTTATAATTCTATGTTTCTTTAATCTAGTAGATAGTTATGGTTCTGGTTAACCGGCAGCAGAAGTAATAAAAAAAAAATTTTGATTTTCAAATATGTTTTTATATTATTTAATTATTCCTTTCCTTTGTATATTCTCTTTCAAACGATTCTTGATTGAAAAGTTTTACGATTAACCGTAACGGTCCGTAAAGGAGGCGTTACAAATATTTAATTTTTAGAATTGTTTTCTAACTAGTAGGTCTTTTTACAAACCTAACCACAAAATACTACTATTAACAATAACAACTACTACTTGAATATATTACATGTTACATATTTAAAATAAAAACAAAATAGAGGACACAAAAAGTAAATAACCAGAAAAAAAATTATGATTTGCAAAATGAATGAAAATAAAATAACTGACAACAAGTTGAAGAGGAAAGTAACGTTAATAAATGGAAAGAAATTTTACAGGTGATCACACTAGTTATATTTGATGAAGTTGGGCCCTCAATGCCACCGTGTTTACAATCATCACTCACATTCATCAAGGATGAAGAGTACAATTGTGACACACAAAAGACTATATAGCCTTGAAATTTTCCAATAAAAAATATAACATTCAAACTTGATTTTGGTTTCGGGTTAAATCAACCTATCTTATTCGTTCACCAAAACTAACAAGTTTGATGTTTATGTCTCTTTCTAAGTTTCTTAATTTGTTTCGGAATTCAGATTACCTATCAAATGCCTTATTTTCAAACCTTTTTAATTATGTTGATGGAGTGTAGTTATAGTAATAAATCGCCGAAAACATCTTAAACCTTATTTTTTGTCTGGAATAGGCTGAGAAAATGTGCCTAAATCTCTTTTATATGCTTTTTCTTTGTCTCTCTCTCTCTCTCTTTTTCTTTTGAGGGCTTTATTTCTTTTTTGAAATAGGAGCAGGACATTCATTAATTGAAATCTTAAATGCGAAAAATAAATCCTTGAATGGACCACCTAATCTTTTAGCTGGAATGCAGTTGGGGGTGGTTAAGGCAATGGGTTCTGTGGGGCCCAAACATCTAAGCAATGCCGTGTTACTAAGATATTCATCCTTATCTATAAGTTTTTTCCTAATGTGATTTACTCCAACGTAAAATATAGGTCAAGAATATTATTCCTTTTTTTTTTTTTTTTTTTTTTTTTTTTTTTTTTTTTT